AAGCAGGAAAAGAAATAAAAAAACAAAAAACTCAACCGACACAAACTCTTTACGTGACTTGGATCGTTTGACATAATAATAATAATAATAATAATAAAATTCAATATAATAAAATATAGTTTTAACATAAAAGTTACTTTTATACTAAAAAAACAAATCAGGCTCTTTATCTTCTCACTTCCATTTTCAATTTATCTCTTATTTTGCCATCTCTCTCTCTAAATCCCTTCATTTCTCCTTTCTGGTTTCTCTTCTCTCCATAATCGAATATGCGTGAGATCCTTCACATTCAAGGTGGCCAGTGCGGCAACCAAATCGGAGCCCAGTGAGATCCTTCATTTATCCTTTCTGGTTTTTCTTCTCTCCAGAACGATGAATCGATGGTTTCAAATCGCGATTTGAACATCAATTGGGTCGATTGGATGATCAACTTTGGATCGTAGAAGCTTTCGTACCGAATCGCGATTTTGGAACGACCCAGAACGCGTTCGTACCGCGTTTTGAATCGGAGTGTATAGTACGTAGATCGTGGGAACTCTAGCGATTTATGTAACTATGTTATCAACTAATTTTGTTCAGACTTGTTATCAATACATTGGTCATCCTTTTTTTAATTCAAAAAATATAGTTGAATAATTTATGTTTGTCTCGTTTATTTGTTTTAAATATTCTAAATGTTAAATTATATCACATATCACTTAATGATTAATAAAATTATGAATAAATCGTCTAATTTGCCAGAGTTATAAATAAGTCACTTAATTAATTATAAAATGTAATTTAATTATTAAAAATGAACAAGAAGATGTAATTAATAAGACTATAATTGAGTCTCTCAATTATTAGTAAAATTGTGAGTAGTTCATCTAATTTTAAAAAAATTATAAAATAAATTATTCAATTAATTGAAAAATAAAATCTATTTTAAATTTTAGGCTTCATGAGGACCTAGAAGTCCATTTAGTGAATTGAACAGTGAAAAGTCTACCAATGGTGAGATGAATGGCATATCTAAAGACAGAGATCATACAATTTTAGACAACATAAATCAAATGTTTTATTTATCCATTATAATGATCATGTCACTTTATTTGTTAATTATAAAAATTTGTACACTTAAATATAACAAAAAGATTTAATATTAATTACAAAATTAATGATAATAATTTAATTATTACAATTCATAAATAAAGGGATACAATCGTAGTTTTTTAAAAAAATAAAATAATTTAACTATAAAGTTATCCATAATACAATAACTCATGTAATTTGCCCATAAAAGCTACACGTTACAAAGTAGTAAGAATCTACACACACTAAAATGCTCGTTGATGAACCAACAACTAGTTGGTCTAATGAGATAAGACACTAAATTCCTTAACTAAGGTCAGAGGTTCGAATTTTAACATTTGCAAATGAAAAAACTGAGTTGGAAGGGTTACCCTTACCTCTGCAGTATCTGAATAAGGTAATATCTCACACCAGGTAAATCTTTAACCCTTGTCCTTCTTACAAAATGTTCTTGTAAGTCACAGCCAATACTAGATATATAAGCAGTGGTTTTAAACCTATAGGTTAATCGTACTATAGTAACTCTACATAAGACAGTTTACTTTTGGAAAAATTTTGATCGAACTATTTAATTATTTAAATGATGTTAATTAAGCTACCAATTGTTAATATTTAACAGGGGTGTTCAAGCGGTTAATTCGGTTAACCGACCGAACCGAATTGTACAAATTTCATTAACTGATTTTTCTCCTTTAACCGTTAATTGAATCAAACTTTTTCTAAAAAACTAACCGCATCGAACTAAGTTCGGTTAACCGAATTAACCAAAATTTATAAATAATATTATATATATTAAATATTAAATATTTTTAGTTTATTCGGTTAATTTGGTCGGTTAATTCAGTTAAACCGAAGTTTAAACATCTCTAAAACTATAATATATAATATATTAAATATTTAATCATTTCAGTTAATTAACCGATTTCGAACTAAATTAAATGAAACGAAGTTTGAAAATAATCCTTAACTGTTAACTGATCGAACCCAAAATTAACCGACCGAAATTTAAGATAATTCAATTTTAACCGAATTATGAACACCCCTAATAGTTAACATATAAAACGAGGTGATGGTTAAAAAGTTTGATATCACTACACATTTAGTGTTTACTTCATATAACTTCTATTAATTTAATCATAATTTTAATTTAATTAAATAAATCTCATCAAATTGTGGTATTATGACATATGTCAACATTTAATTGCATGATTAAATTTATTTTTCACCGGGAGAATTGCACCTGTGTTGCTCGAAAACCAAGCACATCACATGTCCAACTCCAACCAATGGCCAAGAGCATTTGGTAGTTTATAATTGATAAACCCTAAGGTATATATTTTTGTATATTAATGTTTAAAATTTAAATTAAACATTAGAAATGTATTTTATTTTTTACATGATTTATTAAATATATTTTATTTTTATATTAATTTAATAATATATATGTATATATTGTTCTTATCTTGATTTAAGATTTTTATTTTTATTTTAACTTTAATAATATTAAGTTTGATTGGTATTATTTAAATAATTAAATGAAATAATAAAAAATAAAAGATCGATGGTCAAAATAAAATCATTCTATAATTAAGTGACTATAAATATAATTTATCGAATTAAAAACAACTATGCTTAAAAATAAAATTTTCATTTATAAAGTTAACACTAATTATCTGGAAAATATCAACCACAATTTAATGTGATTCACATTTTACTTTTTTATCATGTATGATTACTTTGACGACCTTTATTGTTAGATATGACTCATAAATATACCAGTAGCGATTATGTGGGTTGGGGGTGCGGGGTGCAGTCCCACGGTATGATACAATGTTATTTTTGTAAATATGTACCAGAGTTTATTTATTATAAAAGGAGATGTAACCTAAACCTATGTGATATTGAATGAAAAACTAGCGCCGCCTAAGACACTGAGAACGTAAACACAGTGCTGAACTCGTTAAAATTAATGTGTTCTTTCTGCTTTCTTTACCTGATTATTCAACATTTATTAACTTCCTTGATTTGCAGAACTGAGTTCATAACGTACTTTTAATTTCCATAGCAGTCGAGAGAAAGCAAATATGCAATGATCATAACACACGTATCGTAATATTAATTACTTCCCATTCACAATTGCCTGAAAATAATGGTAAATTCTCACTCTCACAATCTCTATACATAGAAAGAGAATCAATATGTTATATATATATTCCTAGTGTTATAGTGAGTTCCATAAGAAAAATACTTGACCTCCATGGATTTCCAAAGTGTTAACAGAAGAACTAGCATGGTCGCAACATGTTTAATCCTGGGAATTTTTATTGCCAGCCTTGCGACAACAGGTTCGATTTCTCTCCTTCCTCATCTGTTATTTTCTACATTTGTTGCGGCTGAGCTTAATAAGTAAAATGTTTATATTTGTATGTGACTTAGGCGCAACAAAACCGATTGAGGTACGCAATGGAAGAATTGCCGATAATCTGCCCTCTGCTATCGACGTTGTCAATTTCTACACGTCGAATGGCATCGGGAAAATGAGACTCTACGACCCAGACCAAGCAACTCTCCATGCTCTTGCAGGAACAAACATTGAACTAATCCTCGGTGTTCCCAATGGAGACCTTCAATTCCTCGCCACTCCCTCGACCGCTGCCGCTTGGGTCCAAAACAACGTACTAGCCTTCTTTCCAGCAGTCAAAATTGTGTACATAGCAGTCGGGAACGAAATAAGACCAAACGACCTTGAAGCTCAATATGTTCTCCTTGCAATGCAAAACATTTATAATGCTTTGGTATCAGGAGGATTAGGTGGTGAAATCAAGGTTTCCACATCGGTGGAAGCGAGTCTGTTGGGCCCGTCTTACCCTCCGTCAGCAGGCTCCTTTAGTCCAGTTTCAAGCCCTTACATGACACCCATTGTCACGTTCTTAGCAGCCACCGGTGCGTCTCTTCTTGCCAATATCTACCCTTATTTATGGCTATATTGGTGATCCCCAGAACGTACGTCTCGACTACGCCTTGTTCACTGCTCCGGAAACAGTGATTCAAGATGGCGCTTTGAACTAGCAAAACATGCTCGACGCTATTTTGGATGCCTTTTATTCTGCATTGGAAAATGCTGGTGGTGCCAATGTGGGGATCGTTGTGTTGGAGACTGGTTGGCCTTCTGCCGGCGTAGAATCGGTGACGGTGGAGAATGCAGGGCTCTATTACCAGAATGTGATCGATCATGTCGGTAATGGAACTTGGGCAAGCTATCGAAACGTATCTTTTCGCTATGTTTGACGAAGACCTCAAGGGTCCGGCTGAAACTGAACGCCATTTCGGCCTATGATAATAAGCAGCCCAAGTATAATCTTATTTTCAGCTGATTTCTCATCAGCAAAGGCAAGCTTTTCACCACGACCGGGCCTAGGTATTTTGTTTTTCGGGGTTAATAAATTATTGTCCTATACAAAATGTCAAGTAAATTTGTTCATACTTATTATCAGAGCACATTGGTAATCATTTATTTGTTTTTAACATTTTAAATGTTAAATTATATGTAATCACTCAATTATGAATAAATGATTTATTTAATTATTTTACTGTCAAAAATATGTCATCGGGTTTCATGATTATGGGTGAAATACTCTTATGCACATAGCATAAAGCATTGGATTAAAAGTCATTTATTTCTCCCACTTGCCAATGCCCACCCATCTGTTTGAAAACCACCTCAATTAATCTCTCTTATTTATTTCTCCTCTCCCTGTGCCGCATGCTTGTGGTATGAGTATCCATTCACAGGGACCGCATTAATTGTTAGTTGTTTGTTGATCGTTGATCGTTGTTCTTATCACACCAATAACGACACCTCTCGACGTTGATCGCCTTTATTCCCATCTTCTTCTCTTCTCTTCTCTTCTTTTATCTCGTTTCTTTTCCTAGTTTCTGATGCGATGGAGATAGAGTCAGCGAGCTGCAGTAAGAAAGGTAGCGCCGCCGGAGATATCCGTGGTACTGATGGCGGTGCCGCTGCTCGTGATCAGGATTTGGTCAGGGGCGTTTACTTGGTCTGGCGGGATCTGACGGTGGTGCTGCCGAACTTCGGTAATAAACCTACCAAACGGTTGCTTCAAGGGCTTAGTGGATTTGCTGAACCTGGAAGAATCATGGCGATTATGGGCCCTTCGGGTTCCGGGAAATCCACACTCCTTGACTCTCTGGCAGGTTCTACTTTGCCCCTATCTCCGTATTATAAATTCTGTTTGTTTCAAGTCTAATCTAACTTAATTCCAAAGTAGTTTAGGATTTAAAGTATTTAAGAGTCTTAACAACACTAAAACAAGATTATGGACACCGAATCAAGTGTTTTAGATGGTTTTGGGGAATATTTAATTAATAAGTTTACTGAAATATGAGGTACAGACAGTTGAGTGAAATAATATATGTTGTACCTATTCCGAGAATTCGATGTCACTATTCAGGCTTAGGATATCCTATCTACGTGAAACCTCCGTTTTTTTTAAATTAAATATTATGTGTGATTTTAAAAAAATTAGATATTAAAATAAATTAAAAATAATAATTTAGGTATTAAATATTAATTTACCCAAATTAAACGAAACATTTTAGTCCGTGTCCACCTCGACCTGGCTAAAAAGGTTAAAGCGGTTTGTCCACCGCTTAATGGCACGACACCGACTCCTTATCCTCCCCTTCCGATTTAATGCAATAATTTAATATTTCTTTAAAAATTGAAATAAATTGTTTTTTTAATGAAATTAACGGATCTAATAAATAAAATTATATTATTTATTGAATTAAGAAAATTGCCATCATGTTTATCCCAACTATTAACCTAATATCCTCGATCTTGCTTATCGATAATCAATGAAGCTTGTTCAAGATTAGGTGGCGAATATAGAATTAAGAGGGAGTGAATGAATTATTAAATTAAATAATAAATGCAGCATTGAAGATATTGCTCCTTCATCGAATGATGAGTCGCTCACATGTTATGTAATCGCATTCCGATAGCGATTGCTATCTGCGACTTCACCTCCTCCCTCTTCAATTAACCTAAATAACGAATTTCTCGTGATTTTCCCTCTATTGGGAAAGCTTAGGTAAAAGTAATAAAAATATCGTATTCAAACCGCTTCATTATTATTTATTATATTACTTTTAGCTAAGAAAAGGATTTTATATAAAAAAAAATCAGCAACCATAGAATAGTTTCGAGATGGATACTTTATGCACTTAATAGTTTTGTAGTTAGCAGTTGGGTGGTATTAAATTGGCGTCCTTTCAACCAGAAACCTGCGTTTCATGCCGACGATTAAAGGAAGAATAGGGGAAATTTCTAGTGATGACAATCTAATTTAAAATTAAACCAAAAATATTACGAAAAAAAAGTGTGAAATCGAAAAATATTAAAAAAGTTAATATTTTAGATTACGTTTAGTCAAAAATATTATTTTTTATAATATTTTGAATTGTATCTTTTTATGCCATTTCTTAACTCTAAGTTAGAGTGTTGTATCTTAAAGATTTCCCCCCAAAAAAAATCATCCAATCAAATTATTTTTTGACCGAAAAGATAGTCTTTCATTAATTCGTACTGCTATGCCAACATTGTTAAGTATTCCACTGTTAAAAAGATATTTTCTAGCTACAAAATGTTATTAAAAATTTACAATCCCATCCATATCAAATTTGTGGGGCAAAGTCAAAATTTTTTGAAATAAAGTTTTGAGTGAGGTTAATTATTAAATTCAATTAAACCCAAAGAGTAGTCTGGTAAGGTGAGTCGAGTTTAAGCATTTTTTTCTGAAGTGTGGGTGAGTTTAATTAGATTTAACGTCAAACATAAATATTATTTTATAATCAGATATATTAAAAATAAAGATACTTTTTTTTATTATAGTGAGAGAAAACCTTTATATTGTTGGTGCAGACAGACTCGCCAGAAATGTGGTAATGACTGGAAACATCCTTTTAAATGGAAAGAAGAGACTGCAGTATGGTGGTGTTGTAAGTTTTGTACTCCTTAACTTAATAACCATATGTGTGTATGTATGTGTGCTATCTTCAAAAATTTTGTTCAAATGAACCACTTGGGATGAAAGAATCTTCAGTGACACTTAAATTTGAATGAATTTTCAGGCTTATGTGACACAGGAGGATGTGATGTTGGAAACTCTAACCGTAAGAGAAACTCTAACCTACTCTGCTCATTTAAGGCTTCCCAGTAACTTGACCAAAGATGAATTAAAAGACATTGTGGAGGGAACAATCATGGAGATGGGTCTTCAAGAATGTGGTGACACAGTGATTGGGAATTGGCATCTAAGAGGAATAAGTGGTGGGGAGAAGAAGAGGCTCAGCATTGCACTTGAAATCCTCACGATGCCCAAAATGTTATTCCTCGATGAACCTACTACTGGCCTCGACAGTGCCTCTGCTTTCTTTGTTGTTCAATCTCTCCGAAACATAGCTCGTGATGGCAGGACAGTCGTCTCCTCGATCCACCAGCCCAGTAGTGAAGTTTTTGCATTGTTTGATGACCTTTTCTTGTTATCTGGAGGCGAAACTGTTTACTTTGGAGAGGCAAAAATGGCTGTCCAGGTAATGGGAACATGGGATAAACTCCCTTTGCATTGCATAATTGCATGTGCTTTTGGTATGCTTGTAATCTAATTCCTTAGCTTTGATCTTCACAGTTCTTTGCTGAAGCTGGTTTTCCATGCCCAAGTAGAAGAAACCCTTCGGATCACTTCCTCCGATGTATAAATTCGGACTTCGATGCCGTAACAGCCACGCTGAAATGTTCTCTAAAACTTCGTGTAAGTATTGCCCCAGGGGATTTTCTAATTTGTTTGGAATTAGTATTGCAGTTATTGTCCAAATAATGACAGTTAATCTTGTGTATCACTTCTTTAGGATAAACCTTCAAGCTCAGATCCTTTCACGAGCATGGCAACAGCACAAATCAAGGCCGCCCTGGTCGAAAAGTACCGGCACTCGAAATACGCGAAAATGGCAAAAGCTAGGATTCAAGAAATATCAAAAATTGTAAGTAATCAAAGCTATAGTTTTCAATTTGATAAGTCTAAAATACAAAACAGTGTCTGAAAGAAAGTTGATGTGATATCAGGAAGGACTTGAGGTAGAAGCAATCAGTGGAAGTCAAGCAACATGGTTGAAGCAACTTACAACGTTGACAAAACGATCATTTCTCAACATGTGTAGAGATGCTGGGTATTACTGGGCAAGGATTGTGATATATATACTTGTATCCATCTGTGTCGGAACCGTCTTCTACGATGTCGGATACGGAAATACCGCAATTCTTGCCCGTGTAGCCTGTGGCGCATTCATCACAGGTTTTATGACCTTCATGTCGATCGGAGGCTTTCCTTCCTTCATCGAAGAAATGAAGGTAAAATGAAAGTCTTTGTGATTCAGTTGACTTAAAGAAGGTAATGACATTGTTGTTGTCATGTAATACTTTCCATTGTTTGTTGTCACAGGTTTTTAATAAAGAAAGGCTGAATGGATATTATGGAGTTGCAGCTTATACACTCTCCAATTTCTTCTCCTCATTCCCATTTCTGGTTGCTATTGCACTCATCACAGGAACAATAACATTTTACATGGTGAAGTTTCGATCCGGATTTTCGCATTATGTGTTCTTCTGCCTCAATATCTTCTTCAGCATCACTGTGATTGAGAGCCTCATGATGGTGGTAGCTTCATTGGTTCCCAATTACCTAATGGGAATCATCACCGGGGCCGGAATTATCGTAAGTAATCGATACCGAGTTACTTGATCATCTTTTCAAGCTCAGTTATTTTAACTCCCAAGGTCTTCACTTTTCAGGGGATTCTAATGATGACATCGGGCTTCTTCAGATTGCTGCCTGATCTTCCTAAGATATTCTGGCGTTACCCCATTTCATACATCAGTTTTAGTTCATGGGCACTTCAGGTATGAAATTCATCTATTAATGAAGCTAAATTACTTGAGTATTTGCTCATCACAATCACTAACTACGCACTTTCTTTTTTGAACGTGACAACAATGCAGGGTGCCTACAAGAATGATTTCATCGGCCTCGAATTCGATCCGCTACTACCGGGTGATCAGAAACTAACCGGAGATCAAATCATAAAGCAGTACTTCGGGGTGACGATAGATCGGTCCAAGTGGTGGGATTTAACTGCAGTGGTGGTCATACTCATATGCTACCGCCTTGTCTTCTTCATAATTCTGAAGACGAAAGAAAAGGTTTCGCCATTTTTTCAAGAAATTTATGCCAAGAAGACAATTGAGCATCTTGATAAAAGGCCCTCCTTCAGGAAGATACCATCGTTGTCTTCTTCCAAACGTCACCAGCCTCTCCACTCTCTTTCTTCTCAAGAGGGTCTTAACTCTCCATTACACTAAATTCTTTCTTTTTTTAATAACCAAAGGCATTGATAATATGCCACTGCTATATGTTACATGTGATTGTTGATTATTGTGTTGAATATCTGATGTTTGTTTGTGAGTAGCTTTGTCTGCTTATACATGAAAAAAAAACTGGGGAAAATATACAGAGTGCGTGTGGATTTTTTATATATACTTTTTTGCTTGTTTATTCTACACATATACATGGATGGATATAAGTGTGAGCAAAACTCGATTTCATTCCAAAAATTGACTCGACTCGAATTTCATGTGGAGAACAAAAGGCCATGGGAGTGATTATTTCATAAATTCATAACAAACTGAACACAGCTTAAATTAAAATTAGAAGTCAAGTCAAAACGTAGATTTCACTATTATATCACCATTTTCCCTCTTAAATCATCTGAAACAATTATAACCAGAAGCCAACCGCAAAAAGGTCAATAATTCGAGAAATTTGAAGAGAAGAAGAAGAAGAAGAAGAGAAAGCCATCAAAAAGCTTATTCACCACTTATTTGTTAAGGAGGGGCTGCAAAGAGAGCTACTAAGAATCAAAACTGACAAATCCCTTTTCCCTCAAGCTTTCAACTGTTTCCTTGAGACTCACCTCCAAGGGAGTGAATTCTATACCCAAACTTAATGCCTTTTCCTTTGACACCTGATACGTTGGCACATAAGGCTTGTCATCTGCACATCTGCACATAAGGCTTCAGTATATAGTACATATAACTGAAACGACCAGCGTTCAACGATATCCTACAAGATATTTTCTCCTTAAAGCTGGATTTGGTTATTAAAAGTACTGGATAAGATCATCAGAGTTCTGAATGAAATACCTAACGCTGTATCATACACATGGAAGCAATGAAAGTAAAGGATGCAGAAGCATATATTGAAAGGTGGACTCGAAAAAATTCGGGACTTTTTTGACTTAAAAATTAAGGGAAGTGCTCGGTATAAAGAGAGAAAGAGAAGCACATGGCTCAGAGGTAGTTATGTAGTCTGCTTTAAAATTCAGAAGTTGAAAACTTACTTTTCTGGGAGATGGAAAGAAGGATATAGCTCGCTTAAGATCTTTACAACTTCCGAGCAATGTGCAACTCTCTCGACTAAACAATATCTTCCACTAGCTGATGGAATCTCAAATGCCTGGATGTGTGCATCTGCAACGTCTTTTACATTGACCCAACCGAAAGTTGCATTCGGGAATGTGTGTGCTCCTGCAGAAAGAACAGAGGATCGAGAAGAGATGGATAGCCTCAGCAGGTGTAAACTTAGACAAAAAAAATCCCTAAAACTGATGCATTGTCTACGTTCTTCTCAAAAGGAATGTAAGAGTGGCAACTATGCCAACAAGTTACATTTTTATCGAAGAATTAGAAGTTAACAAGGTCATAATGACTTTAGTTCCAGTATGCGGATTCCTGTCATTTTTATCAGGGATACTATTGTGGTACTTATACACAAATTGCATGCATGAGGAGTTGATTAGAAGGCCTTATTATTGTTTTTTCCTTCAAATCAACTGACATTTACCAGGGAAGCAATATATTGGAAGGGTATTATTTATTCCTATAAGAGGTACCAAGTTTAAGTGTGTATTTCAGAAGATCACTAAAGAAAGTGTGTGTGTCGATCACTAGTGTAAAGGATATTGATCATCAAATATAAAGCAAATGACATGTTCAGGGTTTGAAGGCAAACAGTAGCCAGGCAGAAATTACCCTTAATTAAGCTTAAAACTGCTGCAGCACTTGTGTTAAGTGTTGGCTGTAAAAGAGGACCGATCACCATTGCCGGGTTTATGACTACCAAGTCGAGGCCCTTCTCTTTCGCAAATGTCCAGGCAGATTCCTCGGCTATGGTTTTGGAGACTACATACCAGAGCTGAATTAAAAAGATGACGATTCAGAAATAATACCCTCTTACTTTAAAAAAAGAAAACAGTGTGACATGATAAAATATTAGGCAACTTGTTACAGCACCATCAAGCCATACCCTAAAATATGGGGTACTGGAGATAGCAGAAACAACTTCTAATAGAGAAGTAGCCGATTACAAGTCAAAGAGACTCAAAGTTTTCACCTACTATCCAGCCAATCTACAAGTCAATTAGGGGATATGCCTGCTGTTGATAGTTTAAATCCTAATCTTCATATGCTCGAATCCGCTATCAATGATGCCAGAAAGAAAAGTCGGAGGAATGCATTCGTATGTTGGCAAAAAATTAACACCTAAATTATTTATATCGAGACTGGAAACCTATCTGCAATTTGATAGAATAAGCATTGATAAGCTAGTTTATCAACAAGCTCAAACTCACATTTGATACAAGCTGGACCTATCTTCAAGCATTGATAAAATAATGAGAAAACAAAATTGAGATTCAGTGAATGTTCTTATATTTCACATGATTTATCTTTGTTTTTCAGTAACTAGCACAGAAATGAACAATTGGCATCTAATATACTTTCATTTGAATGCATCTCCATATACAAATCCGTTTTTTGTTCCTTTCTCCATAAAAATTTCAGTATAGCAGGTCAAAGTTACATATAAAACATAACACGAATCTTGATATACTATCAGATGTACAGCACATATACTCACCTTTAAGCTCTTACAGTACTCTGGATCGGTAAACCAACTTTCGTCAACCACAACATCTGGAGTTCGAGGTTTCCCGGTGTAAGTGACTGCAGCTATAGAAGATGTCAAGATAACTCGTTTCACAGAAGAGGTATTAGCACATGAGTTCAGAACATTCAGTGTTCCCTTCACAGCAGGATCGAGTAGTTCTGCCTGAGATGAGGAATGAAGAGTTAAAAGCTTATTAATCGAGGAGAGATATAAAAGACAACATAGTGTATACATTGGATACAAAAAGGATTGAACATCAACCTGTGGATCTGTGACATCATGATAAAAGGGAGATGCTGTGTGAAAAACACCTTCACAGCCTTCAACTGCATAATCATAGGAACCTTCTTCCAATAAATCTGCTTTAAACAACTTCAGCCTTTCTTCAGCGCCCTCAAGTGCAAGTAAGTGTTGTGTTTTTCTCGGATCACCTATCGAGGAATAATAACTAATTAAAATGATTGAAACTGGTTTAGGAAACATCTGGGCAACTCTTATAAGAACAAACAAGAGAAATGCAAAAGAAAACAAGGAAGGTTATCCCATGATTATGAATCTACCACATAAACAATGAAATGCCAGAAACAAAAAGTTGTCTCATGATAAATAGCAGATGCCTGTAAAGTCAGTTCTTTCTTTCTCAACAAGCAACTATACCCCTTTCTAGCATTCTACATTTCTTTCAATCACCACCAAACCTAGAGGAAACCTCTATTATTCGGACTTTTTTTCCTATTGGAGTATTCATATCCTATACCTATGTCTGGCACATACTTGAGCATCACAATGACATATGATATTCCAAATATATGAAAAAATGGCTAAAGAAATGAATAACCATGTACCTGCACAAAGTAATCAATCAGAGCACAAGAAGGATACAAGAATTAACATTAAAAAAGGTAAGAAGATATTCAAATCCCAGAAAGAGCATGAACAAACGATGATGAAACAAGCAAAAGATATCATGAAAAGAAATGGGGGGAAAGAAAAGAACAAACTTGGGTCACGAACAGAGGCTTTGACGGTGTAACCACGAAGGAGAAGGTGCTTAACGAGGCATGAAGCAATGTAACCTGAGGCCCCAGTAACGCACACGGTTTTCCCTTCTCCGGTGCTCATAATTTTTATTTTGTTTTTTCCCCTTATGTTGTTGTCTCTTTTGTGGGTGGGGAATTGCAGATCGTTAATTCTTTGCTCCTCTCTGACAGTTGCGTTTTCAACTGCAATGTTTGCGTTTGCTATATTTAACAAACTACCTCGTTTCGGAGCTTTACTTATTAGTTAACCCCTCATTGCATTGCCATTGCCATTGCCATTCATATCTTTGTTTTATAAACAGCTCCATGCAATTAACTAAAATATCATTACCACGTGTAGTTTCTCTGACAATTTTTCTTTTTAGACAATAGTTTTGTACACAAAAATGTGGTAGTTTTCTACCATGATTATTTGTAAATAATATTGAATTTTAATTCAATCTTAAAGATATTAAAAGAAGGGTATATTAAGCGTTTAGTACCTGAACTATAAATTTTGGTTTGTTTTAATACCTAAACTTCTATTTTTTTCAAATTCATACCTAAAGTTTAGTTTTTGTTTCATTTTAATACCCACCTTTAAAAACTTTAGTTTTACTTTAGTTTTTGTATCATTTTAGTACCCTTTCAAAATTTAATGTTAAATTTTGAAAAAAGTGAAAGTCCAGGTACTAAAACGAACAAAAACATATAGTTTAGATTTTAACACGTTAAGTTTTAAACAACGGATACTAAAATGAAATGAAAACTAAACGTTAGGTATGATTTTTAAAAAAAAAATTAAAAGTTTAAGTACTAAATGCTTAGTTTACCCTTAAAAAATAACATTACTAGTATTTTTTATTGAATGGTATGGGGTGATTACAAATTGACAAGTTAGTATCGGTTCAAAACTTTCATAACCTATTGACAGCGTGTGTCCACCATAAGGACATCGTATTAGTCAGGGTTTTAAAAAATGGTCAGCGACCACGATTTCAGCAACGATATAGCGGTTTCGCCGCCATCCGAGTTACCCGCGACGGCCGCAATAGCGCCCGCGACGGCCGCAATCACGGTAAATCCGAAATAACCGAAAACACGACCGCGACTGTAATTTGAAACCCTGGTATTAATATCATGTTTTAAGACTAATATTTTGGTACATGATTTACTAGAACAATATTGCATACAATATACAATTTTGCTAATAAAAACAGATAAATACGTTCTACAATGTTACTGTTATAAGATCATATTATTAAATAAATAAAAGAAATTTATAGCCAAATAATACTGACTTAAATTTCTCTGTTAATTGCAGAAGCGGACTTAGTTTGGGCTGATCGCAAATAAGTAACAACGTCTGCATATCAAACTCAAGACTTACCAATTCAAAGTTTTCTCACCAAGAAAACAGGAAAGAATAGCACAGGGTGATTTACAGAACAATATCAAAACTTGAATGCAAAACGAGTTCGGAGAACCCGAATTTCGTCCATGCCGGATGTTACCGAAGAGAAACCAACGACCTATTTACTTTTACCGCTCTGCCGGGTAGCAACAAAAGTGCGGATAACTTCGATCGCCAGCTGATGAGCACTCTTGTTCTGCAGCTTAGCAAGCTCCTCCATGGCTTCATATGTCTGTTTATCAGCAAAGAGCTTTAGGTTATACCTTGTTGGTGCTTGCACTGGACCTTCCCATTTGTTCACCAGTTCTTGAAGTTTTTCGAATCCCTGCGAGAAACCAACATTCTATATATCTCAAATAAATGCATATAAAAACCGACCAAGTAGAAGATAATTTGTCCCAGTACTTACAATGCGGTTTGTAAAGTCGCCAAATGATTCTTTGAGATGTCTTTTTCGTTTCCAGTTGTAGAACAAAGGCTCGAAAACTTTTTCAAGATCCTGAATTTTGATTTTATCCATAAAACTGCTTGCTAATTGGGTTTGATTGGGTGTTCCTCCAAGCCAAATCTGATTTCAACAAAAAACAAGATTACCAAGTTATCATACTAAGTGATTAGGATATAAAGGCAAATGATTGAACTACCTGATAGCTGTTGGGACCATCACCAACAAGTCCAAGCTCAGCCATGTATGGTCTAGCACAACCATTAGGGCAGCCGGTAATCAGTATCACCACAGAGTCCTTGTACTTGAGACCAACCTGAAATTAGTCATTGCCTATCTATTTGTTGGAGATCCAAACCAGATTTCAGGCACATTCAAATAATATAGGGAGGAGAATTCGCACAGTTATAGGCCAGCCTTGTTGTATGAACAAGGGTCATTTAAATTTAACTAGATTGTATGTTTGGTAAACATACCTTCTCAAAGACGGCTCTGACCCGCTTGAGGATATCGGGTATGCCACGCTCAGCTTCAGTTATTGCCAATGGACAAAGTGGGAAAGCTGGACAAGCCATAGCAGTTAAGTTCAGGGGGTCCACATATCTAGGTTTCTGTTCACAGCTAGAACTAGTCAGCTAGAAATCTAATTCAAAGAACAAATTATAACAAGAATAAACAGAGTAAGGGAACACTTCTCAACTAACCATATAACACTACAGCAATTTTGCAACCAGAGGAAGATTTAAAAAGAAAAAGGAAAAGCAGCTAAAGATCAAGTGTAAATTGAAAATTACATGGATTTTAAACAAAGCCATCACTCCCTAGTTATCTGCAGATGAACCCCATGTTTCACAAAAATATCAGGATTATCAATCATTACTCTGAATACACAATTTAAATATTAGGATTTTCTGTGAGAAACCAGATCTTGTGATTCAATATTATCGGTCTTGTCTAACTACTGACATGTCGTAAAATTTATTTAAAATCTGAATTATAACGTCATGTAGCCCACCCACCCAACACAACAGACAAGGCAACTATTCTTGACCATGCGATTAAGATGTTCAACTCTAAAAGTTTTGCAGACATTGCAGAGTGCAGGCTCAGAAATCATAGAGGCAAGTATAGCAAGTAAAAAACATCTTACCAACAGGCCAGCCTGAGCAAGAACTGTGGCAATGGGATGTTGAAAAAAAGCCAAGTTGGCCACTTGGTCAAAAACAATTTTCGGTGGTTTAAATTAATGCATCGATTTTTTAGTTGAAATTTGAAAAATGATAAAATCATTTTTAGTCATTATAATTTAGGGTATTTATAAATTAGTCCTTAAGTTTCAACTATAAATACCCTAGCTCATTTAGCTTCAAAACCATCCCAAAACATTCTAGCTTTCTTCCAATACTAGAGAATTTAGAGAGTTTCTTGAGAGTTGTTTTCTCCTTTTTTATCGAGAGAGAATTATCATTATTTTCTCCTTGGTAGATCGAGAGAGGTTGTAATTCCTATTTTCTCATAGTGAAATTCTTCTATCGTTGCCCGTGGTTTTTACCCTAAATTTTTAGGGGTTTTCCACGTAAATTTTGTGTCTCTTTTATCTTCATTTTTATTTTCTCAAATTATCAGTTGCGATTTAGATCTATCCGATAGCTGTCTTCCGCAACAATTGGTATCAGAGCCAGATTTGAGTGTGTAATATCTGCTTATTGTCTTTGTGATTGCCACCAAAAGGTAGATCCTCCAACATAAGAAAATAAGAAGGTATTACACATTCTTTGAGGTTTTAGAGAACTATTCACGATAGTGAAATAGTGGGAGCTATCAATAATAGAAGCTATGGCAACAAAATTTGATATTGAAAAATTCAATGGGAGAAATTTCTCACTGTGGAAATTGAAGATGAAGGCCATCATGAGGAAAGACGGGTGTCTAGCTGCTATCAATGAAAGGCCGATAGATTTCGCAGATGACAACAAATGAAACGAGATGGACGGAAATGTTATGGCAAACTTTCATCTAGCATTAGCAGATGAAGTATTGTCAAGCATCGAGGAGAAGAAGACAGCTAAGGAGATATGAGATCATCTCACCAAATTGTACGAGGCCACATCGTTGCACAATAAAATTTTTCTTAAGAGGAAATTGTACACTCTTCGGATGTCAGAATCTACTTCAGTGACGGAGCACTTAAACACACTGAACACTTTATTTTCTCAGCTTACATCCTTAAGCTGTAAAATAGTAGAACAAGAACGTGCTGAACTTCTACTTCAAAGTCTACCGGATTCGTATGATCAACTCATCATCAACTTGACAAACAATAATGTCACCAGTCTAGTCTTCGATGACGTTGCAGCTGCTGTTCTACAAGAAGAAAATCGGCGCAAGAACAAGGAAGACAAACAAGTAAATCTGCAACAAGCAGAAGCGTTGACAACGACGAGAGGGAGATCAACAGAACGTGGCCAAAGCAGTAGTCATAAACATGGTAGATCAAAGTCGAGGAGCAAGAAGAATTTAAAGTGCTATAACTGTGGAAAGAAGGGTCACTTGAAGAATGATTGTTGGAGTCTAAATAAAAACTCCAATCCACAAGGCAATACTGCAAACACTTCAGATGATGGAGATACACTATGCTGTGAAGCGTCAACCACCGTGGAAGGAAGAAAAAGATTTGCAGATATATGGCTCATTGATTCAGGAGCAACATATCACATGACCTCAAGAAGAGAATGGTTTCATCAGTATGAACCTGTCTCAGGAGGATCTGTGTATAGTTGCAATGATCATGCCTTAGAGATCATTGGCGTGGGAACCATCAAATTGAAGATGTATGATGAAACAATTAAAGTTGTTCGAGATGTGCGGCACGTGAAAGACCTAAAGAAAAATTTATTATCCTACGGATTGTTGGATAATAATGCAAGCAAGATTGAAACACGGAAAGGAATCATGAAGGTGTTCCGTGGAGCGCTTGTGGTGCTGAAAGGCGAAAAGATAGCAGCAAACTTGTACATGCTGAAAGGAGAGACTTTGCTAGAAGCAGAAGCCTCTGTTGCCTCATGTAGTTCAGATTCTGCAATGCTATGGCATCAGAAATTTGGACACATGTCAGAACAAGGAATGAAAGTCCTTGTGGAGCAAAAGCTACTTCCCGGCTTAACAAAGATATCACTTCCTTTGTGTGAGCATTGTATAACAAGTAAGCAGCATCGGTTGAAATTAAACACGTCAAATTCTAGAGGTAAAAATGTTCTAGAATTGGTTCATTCTGACGTATGGCAAGCACCAGTTAC